GCGGGGGGTGTGCGGAGGGGGTTGAGGTCAGCGAGCTGGGGGATGGCTGAGAGCCCACAGAGCGCGGGGCGGAGGGGGAGGGAAGGAGCAGGAGGTTTCTCTTTGCCATTCAGCTCACGCCGGAGGTTCCCCACACGCAGGCTGGGAAAAGCGGGGCTGAGCGAAACCATTATGTCCCCGGCCTCTCTCAAGGCTGCCTGGCACAAAGGGCTCTCCCTGGCGAGCTGGGGGCCAGCGCTGAAAAGAGAACCCAGTGGCTAAGACAGCAGTACCCCCTTGTCACCCTCCCCAGGGAGCAGAATGGGGGACTGCTGGGGACACTGGGTATGTCACGGAGGGGCCCTGGCTGCCCATGCTCTCTTGCAGCCATCTGGAGAGGAGGGTGATGGTGGGGATGTAGGGAGATGTCCCTGCATGGTGCACAACCCCACAATTCACACCCCACTGTAGAGGCTCCTCAGAGGGCTGGGGGTCTCCACAGCCCCCCCCATACCAGGGTCCACCACGTGATTCCCTAGGGATAGACCATACAATTCCCCAAAGATGGATCACACAGTTCCCCAAGGATGGACCACATGGTTCCCCAAGGATGCACCACCCAGTTCCCCAGGATGGGAGCACAGTGACCCTGAGACTCAGAGAAGCTCTGTAATTTATAATCTCTTTGTGCTGCACCGATTTCGGTAGCCCCAGAAATGGATTTGGCATCTCCACAGTGCTCTCTGGGACAGGTCTCTGGCTGACAGCCTGTTGGGAGGCTGTCCTTGTCACCTGCAGCCCTCTGCCAACAGTGCTCCCTGAATTCACCCGTGGGACCAATGCACCAGGGAGAGGGTGTGAATGCAACCCCCAGCACCACACACTGTAGATGTACAGCGCACAGCACCATGCACCATGGACCTACAGCCCCTGGTTCCGAGCACCATGAATGTACAGCCTGTAGCACCAAGCACTGTGGACCTACAGCCCTTGGCACCGCACACCATGGGTGTGCAGCCCCTGGTTCCAAGCACCATGAACGTAGAGCCCGTAGCACCATGCACCATGGACATACAGTCCATAGCATCTCACACTATGGACCTACAGCCCATAACACCAAGCACCGTGAATGTACAGCCCATAGCACCAAGCACCATGGGCATACAACCTGTGGCACCACGTGGCATGGAAATACAGCCCCTGGCATCAAGCACCATGAACATACAGCCCATAGCACTATGCACTATGGACCTACAGCCCATAACACCATGCACCATGGATTCACAGCCCCTGGCATCAAGTGTCATGGACATACAATCCCTGGCACCAAAAACCATGGATGTACAGCTCCTAGCACCACACATTGTGGACATCAACCACCATGTGCAGACCACAAACCACCCCCTTCCCATCAGGAGCTCAGCACAGGCAGCCAAATCCTGATGGCCCAGGTCCTGCCCAGTGGTGCCAGAGCCAAGCTGGGGGCTTTCTCTGCTCCAGCTGGATCATTGGAATTCAGCCCCATGGCTCTGGAGTGACAGACAAAATCCTCCTGCCCGGCAGCCGTGGCCGGGCTCCAGCGTGGGGGCTGGCTGCTGCCACCCCCCCGGCCAGCCAAGCGAGGAAGGCTTTTGTCACCGGCACTTTTTCTTCCCATTCCCAAGGCGCCGCGGTGGCGTGAGCCTCAGCTGCCAAGACCTGAGGAGGAAATTCAAGTGATAAAACTCTGCAGGAATGGGGAAAGTTGGGGTGATGGGGTGTCTGCTCCCATCCCTGGCTGGGATCAGGGTGCCAGCACCAGGAATGGGACACAGAAAGATTTAAATCTAGTTTCACCCTGCCCATGGGCAATACCCGAGGTCCTGGCAAGTCCCGTGATGGCAAGAGACTCTCAGATGTCGTAGTTGGGGTTTGGGGTTGGATTTTTGGGTTGGGGTTTTTTTTTTCCTATTTGCCACAAATGGAAAATTTTTCAGTCCACACGTTGGGAGGGAAAAGCTGGGAGCAGGACTAGGGAAAAGTGGCCAAAAAACTCAGAGAGGGGGATATGGTGGTGGCTCGTGGGGCATGATCGTCTCTGAGACCTGGGACGGACCGAGACGCAGCCACGAATGCAAGCAGCAGGGCTGGCTAACCTCCATTTCCGTGGGAAACCAGGTGGAAAATGGAGCTGAAGTCTATTTTGGGACAGGAACGATTTTTCTTTCTCCCCTGAGCTTGGCCCCATTTTCAGAGGTGGCTCCTTGAACACGGAGCACACAGGATTTGGGGCTGCAGCTCCAGGGTGAAAGGCAGGAGATGCTGTGATGGGAATACTGAGGGCTGGATCTTTTCCCATCTCCAAAGAGGGGTTTTCTCCTCCACGACCCCCTTGTCCCCTCCACGTGACGGTTACTCATCCTGGCTGACAAGGTGCCCTG